ATGTGGCAAGCGGCTGTGTCGGGATATGGCTGGTCCCCTGCATTGCAGAAGGGGTGAGTGCCGGCTCTTTTCTCGAAAAATCTCGGAGTTCCAATCGCGTACGACGCTCCACCCCGGATGCGAGCGTGTGAAATACCGCAGCGGGGTCGGGCGAGTAGTCAACGATGGCAGAATGCGCTTTCGCAGCAGCTTGCGTCTGCACTTGCAAAAAGCGAACTAGCGGCAACAACGTGTCCGCGCCGGGCAGGTGTTGTTTCACCGTGGAGTGCAGCTCCGCTGCCCTTTCCGGTGCCAAAAAATGATCCTCAACTGCAACTTGGTGAAATGGGGTCTTGCTGCTCTGCATTTCCTCGTGAGCGGCCGAAGCAAGAACGTCAGTCGCACCAACGCCTGCTTCGGGAGTTGTGCCCGGCGCCATCCTCGACCGACCACTATCTTCACTGCGTGGTCGCAAACTATGGGTTGCGCCGCTACTCAGAATCGGCACCAGGTGGAGGTATCGCAACCTCTTCTCTTCAGTGGCATTTCTCCGCAGTGACGCATGCTGCAGAGCCTGTAGGGTGCCCACGTGCAACACGCCAGCAACCGCTTCTGCCTGCGCCCCGTGGTTTTCTTGCTGGTCTTCAGAGGATATATGCATTTCCCCGTCTTCCCCTTCCCATGCTGCTTCGATCGTATCCACAAACGGTCTGTAGAAATTCGTGGTCGACGACACATCAGCCCCGTCGCTGCTACTTGAGCTCGTCCCACTGTTTGGGCCACCAGGACCACCTGGGTTCGTGATCAGGTCTGGATTGGCTTCTCTCTGGGCCAAGCGCATGGGTTCGTTAAACCACTCGTCGAGCACAAGTTTCAGTGAGTGAAATTCTCTCCATGCGACCGCCTTTGCACCGACCTCACCGTTTGTTCCGCCTACGACCGCGAAATCGATGTTGAGCTTACCCTATCAAGTGCAAGTCTTTCTGGGTCTGGATGCAAACAGATGCTTTTCAGGCATCTTTTGGCCACGCGCACGCGGAGCCCACGAATGTTGCGTGCAAGAGCAGGAGCACAAGCCTTGGTCAGGCACCTCTGGATGCCGTCCCCGCATGACAAATCCGGATTTTGCGTAGCAAGAACAAAAAACTTTGAGGACGCCCATGCAAGACATTTTTTTTTGCTTTCATCCTTCCAGACTCAGACCTATTTGCCATGCATATCCCCGCATTCCAGGCCAGGTTCCGACTCTCCTCCAAAAGTCGGCGCGTTGTTTTCACATCCTGGTACTGCTCCGCAACATCAGCTGGTAGGGGCAACTCCTTGACGTCTGCAAAACCTCCTCCTGCCTTGAGCGCCCACAAGCTCGACAGCTTGATGTGGTCATAGCCTGCGGCCTCCTGCGCGTGAAGGTACTGCAGCCGGCGTGCGTACATGAACTGCACGATCACGGCGAGTTTGGCGGCAGTTGCTGTGTCCAGGTGGTGCTGCCAGTTCTGACGGCTACTTTGCCGACTGTTGGCGACAATATTCATCACGTTGCCCATGGTCTTCGCGCGGGCCCGCGCCACCGCGAAGCCGGCTCGTTTTGCGGCCGCTTCCGGCACGTCGTGGTCAAACAGCAGCTTGGACCCCCACATCGTGTCGAACAAAGCATCCTTCTGCATGTCTGCGAAGTCCAGAATGTTTTGTTGGAAAAGCAGAAATATCATATGCAAAAATGTCTGGGTCTGGAAGATTGCGAGATTTGTCATGCTTGTCTGGCATGACCAAAAAGTTTGTGATGCGTGTCCAAGAAGAAACCCTTTTGCCTGTCATGCAAAAACGCACTTTGTCATGCGAAAAACGCAACACAAAGAAGCGCAGATATTTCTCATGCTTGTTTGTGCATTACAGAGCATTCACTATTCCCAACGCAGCATTACAAGTTTCCAGACCCAGACATTTTTACATTTGATAAGAAATGCAGAGGCCAGTGTGGGAATGGTCACGCCCTCTGGTTCGTGCGGACGCGGGTTGCTCGTGGTCGCGCGGGTGCTGGCTCTGGTGTTCCCCAACATGCCGGTCGTACTCAAAAATGATCCTGTGGAGGTCGTGCCGTGAGCAGTAGTAGTGCTGCCAAGGCCCGGCTGCGTGGCCGCCTTCTCGTGCTGCAGTCGCAAGGCACATGCCACGAGCGCCATGTCGCGCGATTCCACTCTGACGACGCGGTGCCGAGGTTGTCGTGCTTCCATGGTCTCCAGAGCTACTTGCTCAGTAGAGTGCTGCGGAGTCTTAGAGACCCGCACGTCAAAGGCATGATTCGCAGGGGGGAGCACTGCTTTCTGTCGCACAACCTTCAGCACGGCATCCTCGACGAGCGGTGTGCCACTTGCATCAGTTTGATCAGAGAAGAAAAACCAGTTTCGAAGAAGCTCCTGCTCGCTTGTCGGCATCACAGGTTCCTCCGCGGTGCTGGTCAAGTCGAACAAGCTTTTGAGGCGGTTCTTTATCTCCAGCTTCACATCATCTTCGACGCCAGCTGCATAGTCCGGCGTTGGTGCAGCTCCACCCCCGTTCGGCGAAGGCTCTCCCGCACCTGAATCCAGTTTCCGAAATTTCGCTCCCTTAGTGTCACCACTTGCCCTCGACTTGTGATCGGAAATCGCATCCGTTCCGCACAGTCGATCGTAGTGGTTTTTCGCCTCCGCAGCAAATGCTTTCGTGCGTCGGACATAGCCTTCCCAGTACGCGGCGATCACCGGGTTCGGTTCGTTCTCGAGATCCGCTGCTGTCTGCAACATGCGCGCCCTTGTGCAAAGGAAAAGCGTTCATAATTCCGCTACCAGGAGGTTTTGGCATATCTAAATTTCCCTGTGCAGTGCTTCAAAGAACTCCGATCGATCCGGTTCTCGCCTCATGCATCACTTTTTAAAAATAGGTGGAGATATTAGCACCAGTCACGCCTACTGTGCGAAGCTTGTACGTAGCTCTTGCAAACAAACACAAGTCTTCAAATGCAATAAACCTATTCTGTAGAAGTGGCAGAACCATCTTGTTCCAAATCATATCCCCACCAGCTTGCACGTCGGTCCAAAAGCGGTCGAGCCCCTGCTCTCCCGGGTCCGCTGCGGGCTCCTGGCGGTCCGCATGAGTAGCGACCACCGCGCCGGCGGCGAGAAACGAAGCTTGCAAGATGCGTTTCATTTTCTTCGTATTCGACGATGTCTTCCTCGCAAAGATAGATTACTTCCTGAAGCGACGAGATGATATGATCAGACTCGTATTGCTTTCGATCTCGGAATTGCACTTCCGTAGGCTTTTTTTCTCGCCGTGGGATGATGTGCCAGCACTACAGGCTGCGTAGTAGCTGGTGTGACGGTACTACGTATCTCCACTTCTCGGCAGAACGTTTTCTTCGGCGGGTATTTCTGCCAGGCCGCAGGAATGGTAGTGGGTTTTCCGAAATTATACCAATAAGAATGATAGATTAATCTTCCACGCTAATATTGTTCACAGCCGGTGTATTGGTCTCGCGACTTAACACAATTCTGTTTCTTATCACTTCGGCGATGCAACTGCTTGACCTTCTTTTTTCAGGTGCAGTTGGAAGTTGTGGTTGTCGCCTTGCCGTCTTAAATATCAATTGTTAAATCTATTTTCCAAGAATTCGTATCTAAATCTAATCTGCCCAAGAAAGGCAAACTGAAGTGGTACGTAAAATTTTACAGTGGCGATCTACTGCTCTATACACAGAACAAAGAATCTGGTCTTCGAACTGCTGCTTATTTTCAGTCGCAGCGATGACGGAACCTGTGCCTAAACTCGTCGTGCGTCCAACACTCTCCTTCTCGTCTTCAGGCAGCTAGGGCTTGCCTAAATAGTAGCTCGACGCCCTTGCGAACGTACTTGAGATTTTTGAGCAGTCTTGTGAGTATTTGTTGTCTACTTTTCAGCCGCACGTAAGTGTAAAGGTTGGAATATTAAAACGAATTGTCTCAACGGGGTCTCACTCGCGAAACACCCGATGGTAGGTTGATGAGGATAATGAATAATCCTGCTTAGTAAACTGTAGCTGGAGGAGTTTTGATTGCGGAAAAGGCGTTGGCAAAGACTAGATGAGTTTCTTTTTCTGGATCCGTGTGGAAATGTGAATTTATCAGGAACTACATGTACATCTTCTTCGCAGCGACACATGTCACCGGCGACGACGATGAAGCAACTACGTTGGATCCGGCGGACAAGCCGTTGCACTTAAGCTCAATCTTCTTGTGGATCACATCTAGATCTTATCTTCTAGCCCCAGCTGGCTCTGATCGCAGAAGTGAAGCTTCAGTAGCGTTGTCGCGATAGACTGCAAGGGAAATGGAGCTCCTGTGAATTCACAATTGTCTTTGGGACGTGCGGTTTGATTCTGTGGCACCGAAATGTTAGGACCTCCGCGGCCGTCCACTGTATCTACAGCGACTCCGCTTCAGCACAACAGGCTGGAGCAGGTGCCAAGCAGCTTTTTGAGAAGTAAAGTGTTTCTGGTGTCGCTAGATGAAGTAAAACGTGTCGGCCTGGGAACGGGGTTCCGAGACAGGCTTATACAACATTTATAGCCGTCCGTGGCGAGCTTGACTGATATTTTATTTGTGAATTGTCATGAATAACTGGGCAAAGGCTAACGCGCATAATGGTATTACAGTAGAGATCTTCAGCTTTTCCGCTAGGCTTAGCAAACGCCAGAGATATAATTCCGGGCCCGGCGCATCACTGCGCCTGGAAATCTTCATCTGCTGCAGAGGCTTACCACGTACAGGCTACGTACTTAACCTACCCGTGATTTGCTTCTGCCTTGCCGGCAGAAGACATTAAAACCGATTAAATAAACCACCAGCCCAAGTTCGGCTCGTGCGTGTGCATTGAAAGTACATTGTCCACGTTGTGAAATCTATACGCCAAAACTTACAACTTTGCATGTGGTGCTGTAGAAAGAAACTCCACTAAACGGTAGCTGGAATTTAAAAATATAGAAGACCATGCGTGGCCTAATATTGTATGCAAAAGCAGATTAACAAGTACGAGCTCTCATGCACTTCGACCATTGTGTGCTCTTATCTCCTAACAGCAATTTCGACCAGAGAACAAGTCGGCCACACTTGCGCACCAGCACAACATCGAGGTCCTGGCGCCCATCGGTTCTCTGGTGCAGCTAGAGCTGGTGCCGAAGATATGATTTTCTCTAATTTACGGCAAGATCGTGGCGAACATAGAACAGCAGATAGCACTGGGTTTTGATGTCTGGGTGATTTAGCACGACCTCATTTCCATCGGTGCGGGACCAGCGGTAGAATGCGAAGTCGTCATACACTACCCAGGTTGTCTTTCCGTGCGTCGCGTTAGCTCCGGGAAGGCCCCGCTTCCCGTAGTTCACCATGGCCCAAAAATGACCGTCGTCTGGGCTTTCACCCCGGTGCAGGACGAGGGATTGCAAGCGGTAGGTGACTTTTGGCTCCCGGGCCCACAGGTTTGCGCCTGGTGCTTGATGGCGCTTCGAACGCCCCGGCAGGTAGTTGGGCGAAGCAGGCTCCTCAAACCTCAGTACCAGGCTGTCGTCCAAATCGACCTCGTCGGAATTCTTCACGGCGCCGGCGTCTGTGAAATCGAAGCGCGCCAAGCGCATCACCAATACCGGTGGTGGTGGGTGTTTCAAGGTTAGTGTCTGCCAAAACGGATACGTCGCTCGCGCCTTCGCTGGTCGTGCGGACGGGTCCTCGCGTGCGCCGCCAGTAGTGTTTCTCCCTTGTTCAGACACTTCAGCTGGCCGTCTGGGCCTATGCCTCTTCCTTTGGTTGTGTGATCCTTCTTCCTGGGCAGCAACGACTTGGCCCCCCCGCAAGAGTGAGGGGGCTGCCCGATGTTTGGGACCCGAAGTTGCAGGCGGGGTCCGACGCACTTGTCGGCCGCCGACTGTTTGCGCGTGCAGTTCGGGGCCCACCTTTTGGCCGTTGGCTGTTGTTGGTACCACCGCATCCCCAACAGATGGCAGCCGCGGCGATGCCGGTGCAGGGTCTTCCAGCGGTTCCTCAGCTGCGCGGTTGCAGTAGGCGTCCTGGTCCACACCGCCGAACCGATTCCAGCTGATCGGGCGTCCCGCCTTAATTTTCTCCGGCACAGAAAAGTAAGCCTCCACCAACTGCGACACGGAATGCGGGAGGGAATCTTGCAGAAACTGCTCGGGCCCTCCTCCCGTCGTGGCATTGGCAACGCCACTCCCCATCGGAATGGCAAGGGCAACGCGCGTGTCCACCTCATTGGCGTTGCAGCGCTGCCTGTCGAAGTCCTGGAACCTCTTCTTCTCGATGTGAAAGCTGCAGATGGGCTCCGCTATGGGGCGGAGGGAGTGAAAAGCCAGCATTCCCAACGCCCCCGCGGCATCCTGTTGGGCGTGCTTGTCCCACATAAATTTTTCAGAAACCGCGGCGGCCCGCTCCCAGAAATTCTGCAGCGCACTCTCCAGGCGCATGTAAATCTCCTTCGCGACCTGTTTGGCTTCCACACCCATGGGGTCAAGGTCTAGCGAATCCCGTTCAACGTCGACAAACGTATTGTGCAGATTGCAGACCCCTTCTAGTTATGAACGGCACAATAGCCCACAGCTGGGATCGCAGAGTGCAGCTTTTGTCATGCGAGGATCCACCACGAACGGCTCTGCTTTGGGTGTGTGCAGGTGGGTGCACCTGTAGTGCGTTCACCTGCAGTGCTTTTGCGCCATCTGTTACGGAATGCCGACGCGCTCAGTCAATGCAATACGTGGCAGGCCCGCTTGTTTCCATGTAAATTATATAACAAGCTTCTTCTACTTCATAGCAAATCTTTACCACATTGAGCCGAGTAGTATACTTATCCCCCAAACAAAACAAAAGCGCTGCGCCATTCCCGACTGAGTCTTCTTGTCGTCTGTGGATTATCCTGCGAAATAAGAGTATCGCACCCACACAAGCTGCAGTCCTACGCTACAAGTGTTTTTCTGATATGGTGATAGTGGTGGTGGTTATACCGACCATGGATGGGGCAGGGTGTTCTTAATCCTACTGCGCTCGTGCAGGCCGAGGAAGACGAAGATCGGCGCACACGGTTTAGGCCTGCAGCTGCAGTTGAATTTCAGCAAAATTAATAATAGTAATTTTGCCGACGTTCAGACTTTATCAAATAAAGGCGCCGGCAGATTAATAATAAAGCGATGGTCTGTCCGGGTTGGAAGGATTTGCGCTGCCAAGAATTGCTGGGACTGCGGTTAGCTACGTGTGGTCCTGTTGGTCTGTGGCAGGTTATAGACACTAGCATTGGGGGGGGGGGGTGCGATACTTCTCCTGCGCGTATGCATAGCAGCATGGGGTAATCAGTGGTAGAACCTTCTGCGGCTAGCTTTTCGCGGAAGGTCGCATCAGCTTCTGTTTCATGTTCACCTCCGCCGCCTGCGGAACTCGCCCCGCCTCGGCTGCGGAACTCTGCGACCATATGCCCAGGGGCTGAAGCTGCTACACCTGCTGTACGCGCTCGGGTTTGTTCTGTAAAAATGGCCTGCTGGTGATATATTTGGTCCACGTGCCTGCGAACGGGTGGCAACCGCCAAAACGCTTGCAGGAACGCGCTCAAGTAGCTTCCATTTTCGATATTCGGCAGGCCGAAGAGGCCGTGACCGACGTAATGCATCGAGACTTCTTGATCCACCGGTTTTGACGACCAAAAAATTTCCTCTAGCCATGGCCCAGTTCCACAGCCACTCTCTACACCGCAACTGGCACTGCCGCTAGCTGCAGCTCGTCCACCTGCACTCGACGGACCACCACCCGCTGTTGTTGCATCAGGCGGCCCCGCAGCTGCGCGCTCACCAGCGGAACCCTCCGCGGCTGCGTACCCATCGGGTGGTCCCACGGCAGCCGGGCCTCCACCAGCTCCAGCAACTCCATCAGCATGGTCTGGTCCCAGTGCTGAATTATTCAAGGCTACCGAGCAGGAGCAGCCCCTCTCTTGCTCATTACTTGAGCTAACCAATTGAAGTGAGCTTGGTTGCTCGGATAGCGGGCCAGCGGCGCTCCCCACTGGCGATTCTGTTGCGGCTGCTGTTACTGGTGGAAATCTGGCGCACGAAACTTGGCTCGCGCTGCTAGGTGTGCTTGTGCTTGGATCATCGAGTGCTGGAACTAGCTCTTGGCGTGTCTGCGTGCCCTCACCCCCAGCCACGGTAAGTGAAGCACCATGATCAAGCACAGGGTCTGCAATACCATAAGAAGCCCCCGTACCAGATGATGGACGCATCGTGGCCTGGTCCGGTTGTCTTGTTGGTTCCTGTGAAGTTTCGCTCGCCCCGCTTCCGCTAGCTACTTGGCCATTTTGCAGAAGCCCTAGTGCGCTCGAATTGACAGTGGATGAAGCTACACTTGGTGGACCACCTATATTATTCTGCTGGCTCATCAACTGACTCATCTCGTTCTCGTCAAATTCCTGGCTCGGCAACAACGTAGCCTCCGTCCGAATATCGTCCTCGTCGACATTCACTCTCGACGGTAATTCGACCGCGGGGTACATCCAGTCCGCGCCTTCCTCTTCGGCTTGGGAGATCTGCCTATCCCCGAAAACCTCCTGCTCGTCCAAGAATTCGCACAGCATGTCGAGATTACTGGCGTCCGTCGCGGCGTCCGGATTGAAGAAGGGATGGTTGGCCGCTTCCTCCGCACTGGGTCGCAAAGTCGGGTCCTTCTCTAGGCATTTTTGGATCAAGTCTTGCAGATTCGGGTCTTTGATCAACTTGACAACTCTTGGTTGCTCCCCCTTCATCACCTTAAGGTAAACCTCCAGCAGCGACGTGTGGCACTCGGCGAAGGGGAACCGGCGGGAAACTAATTCCACCAAAACCATCCCGAAGGCGTAAATATCCACCGGGGTGCCGTATCTCTCGTCGTACAATTCTGGGGCCATAAACCCCGGAGTCCCGACAATGGACTGCAACCTGCTATCGTCCTTCTTCAGCCAGGAACTCAATCCCAACTCGCCGATCAGGATTTCCCCGACGTTCCCATTGATGAAAATGTTGTCGCACTTCAGATCCCGGTGGATCACCGGATTCGGCTTTGTGCTGTGTAGGTACTGCAACCCCTCTAAAATCTGGCGCGCCCAATCGCGGATCACCTTTATCTTCAACGGACCAGCAAGCCGGCTCACGTAGTTCCGGAGGGAACCACCGGTGACACGCTCCGTGATGATATAAATCTCCTCGCGTTGCTGGTTTGAATAAGTTGGTGTTGTAGATGTTAATTTAAATTTGTGTTGCGAACAGCAGCACGAGCAGGAATGTTAGTACTCTTGCACAAAGCACAGCGAGTGCGAGAGAACGCGCAAAGAAACTGAATGAGCCATAAAGGCAAAATAGGACGAGGTCTAAACTTGCTAAATCCGAAAACCCTAACGGCGTTGGCCACGGAGCTGGGTCGAAGCGTGATCGATGATCGCTGGAGAAAAACAAGCAAAATCATTTGAACATAACAATACAGGATTCTTCCAGGCGTTCACACAGTGGATGATTCTCGGGTGGTCCAGCGATTTCGTGATGTTAATCTCGTCCTGAATCCGGTTCCGCTCGGTCCCTGTCAGCCTTGTGAAGGGAATGACATTCCACGCCACCTCGCGACCGGTCTCAGTGTCAAAACCGAGGTAGACCTGCTTATACGATTCCACACCGAGTCTGCGATTGAACCGCAAAAACCGTCCCTTCGGACTCCGCTCCACCACCACCTCATCCTCAACGTTTCTCACAGTGGTCCGTTGCGGCGGAGATGAAGCAGCCGCGCTTTGTTGCAGAGAGGTAGTTGAGACAATGCCTGCAGCGTTCTCGCCCGATCCATTCGCCGACCCTCTGTCAGTCGCAATCCTGGTGGAGGCTGTGCCCTCGTCTTGGGAAGCTGCGTCGGCTGATGAAGTATTCTCATTTTGCAATGGGCACACTGCTGCTGGAACGGCACACGCTGCTGGGGCGGTTCCGTTGGTAGGCTGTGCCGGGCCAGCCGGGACGGTTGCGGAAGAAGCTATTCCTGGCACTTGCTGGTGCTCGCCAACCTGCTCCAGCACAGGTTGCTGGTCTTCAATACAACTTGTCGTGCCTTCACCAGTGATTAGTACTCCAACGCTTGGTGTTGTGGATTCGTTGCCGGGTGTTGGTATGTGAGCTCCTGCCTGTAGTTGTTCTGCCTGCTCCGATATCGAGTGCAAATATGTTTAGGTCTGGAAACCTGTGACGCTGTATTGTGCATGAAGATTGCAACGCTTGCAATGGCGGCCAAGCATGACAAGCCTTGGGGATGCTTTCTGAAGACATGCTATCTGCCAGTGCCACGCATTACAAATTACAACTTTGCATAACAAGGAAGCTTGTGCATTTTTTGCTGCGCATGCAACATAGGTTTTCCAGGAATGCAAGACACGCATTACAAGTTCTACCTTTCCAGACCCAGACGTATTTGCGACGCATATCCGATCCCGCTTGCAGATTGGCGTTTCTGGCCACCAAGTTGGCCTCGTCCTGTTCGGTGCGTGGTGAGCCCACCTCTTGATGACGTGAGCTTGGTTGCTCCGCAGTCGAGCCAGCGCTTTCATCCCCCAGCTGGGCTTCTGTAGTACTAGCTGCTGTTGCTGCAGGAGATCTGGGACCCAGAAATTGGCTCGCAGTGCTCCTGTGCGTGCTCGTGCGTGGATCACCCTCTGCTGGCGGTTCTTGAGGTGTGTCGTTTAGCGAACCCGAGCCCCCAGTCGCCGTCGCGGAAAATTGTGACGCATTTTGATCGACGAGTGCAGGTTCCGCGACATCACCATCAGAGGCAGAACTTCCGGCCGGCGTAGCCACCACCGGTGCTGATTCTATTGTTGGCTCTTGTAAAGCGGAAGCTCCGCTTACCCCACTGGTGCCACCAGCTTGGTCATCTTGCAGAAGTGCTAGAACGCCCCTGCCGACGGCAGCTGGAGCTGCACCTGTGGCTGATGAAATTCCCGGCTCAATTTCAGTTCCTGATCCCACGGCCTCATCGCTCGGTAGTGGCTGGATGGGGGCCGTAGACGTAAGGCCCGTCGGCGCCGGCTGCTGAATCGTGCTGGGGGGCGTCGTCCGTTTATCAAATGCAAGCATCCGTGGCTCTGACAAAATGCTGTTTCATCTGACAAAAGGCCAACGTGATGTAATTCAAACTCACAAGTTCAAGAACTCTAGGCATGACAGATCTAAGTTTCGTAGAGAATATGCAGCTGCTTTTTCTGCTCGATACAGAGCCCAAATTTTAAGTTATTTTGGGTACTTCATGTTTAGACTTCTTCGATTCGTCGACAAGCCGTGTCGCATTTTTCGAAACCCAAAGCCAGAGGGATTTCCGTGCCATATAATCCGTGCCCCGAACTAGAACTTCCTATGTGCCGCAGCTGATCATTCGCAGCTGGGACAGGCGGCGCTTCGGCTGAGGTACTGTGTACTGGCGAGGGCTCCTGCGGCTGAGGCATTGCGTCCGCTGGCATGCTCTGTGGGGGAGCGGCTTGACTTGGCGCTGCCGGTGTGGTGATGCTTATCGGGTGGATGGAGCCATCCGTGGGCTCTTCATATGGCGTTCTCAGACGTTACATTCTCAGCTGTTACACGCATTACTATCTAAACTGCAGCAGCTGGTCAAAAATGCATGCGAGGGGTATGCTCGGGGGTATGTTCGGGGGTGTGTCAGGGGTATGCAAATGGCAGTCAATCACGACCTGAATGCAAATTTTTGGCGAAAAAGCAACAGGTGGGGTATAAACATACCCCAGACACACCCCAGACAGACCCCAGACATACCCCAGACAGACCCCCGAACACACCCCAGGCAAAAAGTCCGAACATACCCCAGACACACCCCGGGCAGACTTTCCGACACACCCCGGGCAGACTTTCGGACACACCCCCGACACACTTTGGGACCTCGCCACGCGAGATGCGCAATGCCGGACTCCAGTTTGTCACGCGAGCCGCCAACCTGTCGAGCTTCCCGGGCCCCGGGGCCTGAAAGGCGCCCGCGGTCAGCGCGGGGGCCCAATCCCCGCGTCATGACCTGCGGGCCAGCTTTGGGCGCTTCCCGGACACCGTACGGCCCAGCGGCAAAGTAAAGCCCTAGGTCAGCGCGGGGACTCGGTCCCCGCGTCATGACCTAGGCGCCAGCTTTGGGCACTTCCCGGAAACTAACCGCACGGCCCAGGGGCAAAAGCCCTAGGTCAGCGCGGGGACTCGGTCCCCGCGTCATGACCTAGGGGCCAGCTTTGGGCGCTTCCCGGAAACTAACCGCACGGCCCAGGGGCAAAAGCCCTAGGTCAGCGCGGGGACTCGGTCCCCGCGTCATGACCTAGGGGCCAGCTTTGGGCGCTTCCCGAATGAATGAAAACTAACCGCACGGCCCAGGGGCAAAGGCCCTAGGTCACCGCGGGGACTCGGCCCCCGCGTCATGGATGACCTAGGGGCCCGCTTTGGGCGTTTCCCGGAAACTAGCCGCACGGCCCAGGGGCAAAAGCCCTAGGTCAGCGCGGGGACTCGGTCCCCGCGTCATGACCTAGGGGCCGCCTTTCTTTCGACGCTTCCCGGAAACTAACCGCTCCGCACGGCCGGGGAGCAAAAGCCCTAGGTCAGCGCGGGGGCTCGGTCCCCGCGTCACCTAGGGGCCAGCTTTGGGCGCTTCCCGGGCGGAAACTAACCGCACGGCCGAGGCGCAAAAGCCCTAGGTCAGCGCGGGGACTCGGTCCCCGCGTCGTGACCTAGGGGCCAGCTTTGGGCGCTTCCCGGGCGGAAACTAACCGCACGGCCGAGGCGCAAAAGCCCTAGGTCAGCGCGGGGACTCGGTCCCCGCGCCATGACCTAGGGGCCAGGTTTGGGCGCTTCCCGGAAACTAACCGCACGGCCGGGGCGCATGCAAAAGCCCTAGGTCGGCGCGGGGACTCGGTCCCCGCGTCATGACCTAGGGGCCAGCTTTGGGCGCTTCCCGGAAACTAACCGCACGGCCCAGGGGCAAAAGCCCGAGGCCAACGCGGGGACTCGGTCCCCGCGTCATGACCTAGGGGCCGGCTTTGGGCGCTTCCCGGAAACTAACCGCATGGCCCAGGGGCAAAAGCCCGCGGTCAGCGCGGGGACTCGGTCCCCGCGTCATGACCTAGGGGCCAGCTTTGGGCGTTTCCCGGAAACTAGCCGCACGGCCCAGGGGCAGAAGCCCTAGGTCAGCGCGGGGACTCGGTCCCCGCGTCATGACCTAGGGGCCGGCTTTGGGCGCTTCCCGGAAGCCAACCGCTCCGCACGGCCGGGGGGCAAAAGCCCTAGGGCAGCGCGGGGACTCGGTCCCCGCGTCATGACCTAGGGGCCAGCTTTGGGCGCTTCCCGGAAACTAACCGCACGGCCCAGGGGCAAAAGCCCTAGGTCAGCGCGGGGACTCGGTCCCCGCGTCATGACCTAGGGGCCAGCTTTGGGCGCTTCCCGGAAACTAACCGCACGGCCCAGGGGCAAAAGCCCTAGGTCAGCGCGGGGACTCGGTCCCCGCGTCATGACCTAGGGGCCAGCTTTGGGCGCTTCCCGGAAACTAACCGCACGGCCCAGGGGCAAAAGCCCTAGGTCAGCGCGGGGACTCGGTCCCCGCGTCATGACCTAGGGGCCAGCTTTGGGCGCTTCCCGGAAACTAACCGCACGGCCCAGGGGCAAAAGCCCTAGGTCAGCGCGGGGACTCGGTCCCCGCGTCATGACCTAGGGGCCAGCTTTGGGCGCTTCCCGGAAACTAACCGCACGGCCCAGGGGCAAAAGCCCTAGGTCAGCGCGGGGACTCGGTCCCCGCGTCATGACCTAGGGGCCAGCTTTGGGCGCTTCCCGGAAACTAACCGCACGGCCCAGGGGCAAAAGCCCTAGGTCAGCGCGGGGACTCGGTCCCCGCGTCATGACCTAGGGGCCAGCTTTGGGCGCTTCCCGGAAACTAACCGCACGGCCCAGGGGCAAAAGCCCTAGGTCAGCGCGGGGACTCGGTCCCCGCGTCATGACCTAGGGGCCAGCTTTGGGCGCTTCCCGGAAACTAACCGCACGGCCCAGGGGCAAAAGCCCTAGGTCAGCGCGGGGACTCGGTCCCCGCGTCATGACCTAGGGGCCAGCTTTGGGCGCTTCCCGGAAACTAACCGCACGGCCCAGGGGCAAAAGCCCTAGGTCAGCGCGGGGACTCGGTCCCCGCGTCATGACCTAGGGGCCAGCTTTGGGCGCTTCCCGGAAACTAACCGCACGGCCCAGGGGCAAAAGCCCTAGGTCAGCGCGGGGACTCGGTCCCCGCGTCATGACCTAGGGGCCAGCTTTGGGCGCTTCCCGGAAACTAACCGCACGGCCCAGGGGCAAAAGCCCTAGGTCAGCGCGGGGACTCGGTCCCCGCGTCATGACCTAGGGGCCAGCTTTGGGCGCTTCCCGGAAACTAACCGCACGGCCCAGGGGCAAAAGCCCTAGGTCAGCGCGGGGACTCGGTCCCCGCGTCATGACCTAGGGGCCAGCTTTGGGCGCTTCCCGGAAACTAACCGCACGGCCCAGGGGCAAAAGCCCTAGGTCAGCGCGGGGACTCGGTCCCCGCGTCATGACCTAGGGGCCAGCTTTGGGCGCTTCCCGGAAACTAACCGCACGGCCCAGGGGCAAAAGCCCTAGGTCAGCGCGGGGACTCGGTCCCCGCGTCATGACCTAGGGGCCAGCTTTGGGCGCTTCCCGGAAACTAACCGCACGGCCCAGGGGCAAAAGCCCTAGGTCAGCGCGGGGACTCGGTCCCCGCGTCATGACCTAGGGGCCAGCTTTGGGCGCTTCCCGGAAACTAACCGCACGGCCCAGGGGCAAAAGCCCTAGGTCAGCGCGGGGACTCGGTCCCCGCGTCATGACCTAGGGGCCAGCTTTGGGCGCTTCCCGGAAACTAACCGCACGGCCCAGGGGCAAAAGCCCTAGGTCAGCGCGGGGACTCGGTCCCCGCGTCATGACCTAGGGGCCAGCTTTGGGCGCTTCCCGGAAACTAACCGCACGGCCCAGGGGCAAAAGCCCTAGGTCAGCGCGGGGACTCGGTCCCCGCGTCATGACCTAGGGGCCAGCTTTGGGCGCTTCCCGGAAACTAACCGCACGGCCCAGGGGCAAAAGCCCTAGGTCAGCGCGGGGACTCGGTCCCCGCGTCATGACCTAGGGGCCAGCTTTGGGCGCTTCCCGGAAACTAACCGCACGGCCGAGGCGCAAAAGCCCTAGGTCAGCGCGGGGACTCGGTCCCCGCGTCATGACCTAGGGGCCAGCTTTGGGCGCTTCCCGGAAACAGAAACTAACCACACGGCCGAGGCGCAAAAGCCGTAGGTCAGCGCGGGGACTCGGTCCCCGCGTCATGACCTAGGGGCCAGCTTTGGGCGCTTCCCGGAAACTAACCGCACGGCCGAGGCGCAAAAGCCCTAGGTCAGCGCGGGGACTCGGCCCCCGCGTCATGACCTAGGGGCCAGCTACAGATCCGGCGCCAGCTTCTTCCTTTCTGTTCCCTTTGTTCGCGGTAGGCAAACGGGCCTGGTGTGGGCAAGCAGAGGGGCTCCGCCCGCACATCTGTCGCGGATCAAGGGGCGCAGGCCACACAGAGACACCGGGCTGCAGGGGCCTGCCGGCCCAGTGCCAGCCACCACAACCCCCGAACTCGTCCCAGACAAATCAATGCCGGAAGGTCGCCGCACGGGGACTCTGTCCCCGTGCTCGGACCTTGTTTGTGATGCAGGAGCGGCAAAAGTGAAAGCCGGAAGTGAAGATTTTTGCGCGTTTTGCATTACAAATCTGGTTCGAATTTAAATGCTGATTAAACCCTTCGAGAATTTGTCATGCGAAATACCTTGATCGTGAGGGTGAGGCAGCTACTACTTATGGCACTTTTGCATGACAAATTCATGTATTGTAACAATTGAGAATGTAACGTTTGAGAACCCCATAGTCCCGGTCCCGTTCTTGTTCCGGGAAGAACATCGCCTGGCCCATTGGCGTGGACAACGGGATTCAAAAAGCCATTATCGCCGCCCAGGTGCTGCGTACCGGAGTTTTGTTCGGAAGAGTTGCTGCCGGCGCCAGCATTATGCATGCCAAATCGCTTCATTGAACAAAGAACCAAGTCCGAAGAACTTGCTGTGCAAAAAGGAGCTACCACGTGTCGTACTTTCTTTTCCATATCTGTGCAAATGCAAAAACCGTAAAGGAACACTCGAAGACCTCCTGTCTAAACCGACTTTTGAGTTTGTTCAACGACCCCAGGCAGCTGCGTATGCCTGCGCTCCCAGAAAGGATCCCATCCCCACGGCACCTCCCAGGCCGGCACATAGGACGAGACAGGAAAGAAGAATTTTGCCCGCAGGTCCCGTCCAGAAAGTCGTGAACGCGGACGGCGATGCTTCCTTCACCAGTCCGTCGTCCACTGCCAAACCAGGGTCAGTGTTTGCGAAGTCGACTTGTTCCAAACCTTGCTCTGCAAGAAGCGCTACCTCCTCGGCGTCAACGGCGTCTATGTTTATCACGCCCGCGGCCCCAATCTTTCCTTCGTAAGCCGTGTGTCCCTGCTCTCGGCCATCTTGGTTTATTGAGTCGACGGAGACGTGGCCCGCGTCTGCCTTCTCTGCGAGAGCATTGGCTGGACCCTCCGAAGGCGAGGGAGTGCGCGACGGTATGCAAGCACTGGCGTGGTCAATAGATCCGCCGAGAGCCTCCTGGCTGCCTTCGTCCTGCCGATCGTGTGTATTTGCGTGTGCCGGCGGTGCATGATATCCAATGCAAATATGTCTGGGTCTCGGTCTGCGTCTGGATGGATGCAAGAGTTTGTCATGCAGATTTTGGATGCAGCCCCACACCGACTGGGATGGAGGGTTAGCATCACAGGTTTTGTAAAATCCCGCATGACAAAAATAGCTCCAGGGCTGGCCAAAATAAATGGGCCTCTTGTGCAGCTACTCGCGCAAGGCAAATTTTTGTGTCACCTACTGGACGCATCACAAGTTGCAGTCTTCCAGACGCAGACATATTTGCACTTGATAGCGCAGCTCCCTCTGCAAGAACATCGTCAGGAGGTGGAAGTTTGGCACCATCCCTGCTACCGTCCAGTGCGCCAGCCTCGCCTTGCGGATCATGCGACTCTTCGTGTACGACCGGCAGCGATGTAGGCAGGTGTTTCTGGTGCAAAACGGTAGTTTATGAAGTGAGAACAAGGCAGCTTCCGTCACCCACCAGTCAAACAAGTCCAGTCGGAGTGAAGATGTGATCATTCTTGTTTTGAAAATCATTTTATCGATGGAAGTACCAATTCAAAAGTAATAGAGCTCGAGCTCGTGCAAGTTGTATGCATGACAAACCAATCTGGCGAACGATTGCTCTGTAGATATTGCACCACGAATTCTTTTTCTTCATCTTCAGCGCCTTGCACTGCGGCCACGGTGAGCTGGTTGTATAACGAAATGTTCCTTGTTGATATCGCGATATTTCCCGGGATCGGGCGAATTGCAGCCTCATGGAAGGATCCTGTGCAAAAGTATCGTACTCGTACTAATTGCAGATATGCATGATAAATCCAACTTTCTACCTGAAATAGCATGACAAATTGAATTTTTTTCTTGGGAAAATTTGTAATGCATTTTGTACTAGTACGATACTTTTGCAATGCATAGGAAGTCGAAGTGTGCAAATTGTGGATCGTGGACAGTGGACTCCGAGATCGTTTTCAGGACGTGGATATCAAATGCAAAAATATCTGGGTCTGGAAAGTTGGACCTTGTGATGCTAACTTTGGACTCTAAAAAAAATCTGTATTGCATGAGCAGCAAGAGGAGCCACGTTTGTGCTACGCGCGGAGGGCATTTGTCACGCGGAAATGGCATCAGGAAGCCTTCCAAAAATGAAAAATCTGTGATGCTGGGTCATGCATTACAAGCATCATGGGTCATGCCAGACAAGCATGACAAGCCTTGCATTCTTCCAGACCCAGACACTTTTGCATTTGATAGTGGAATCCAACAGGAAAGTACAGTCGCACCAGCACAGCTCCGACGGTTCTCTTCGCGGCCGCGGTCCGCGTACTGGCCGTGTGCTTCTAGCAAGTACAAATCTACTCCTGTGTCCGTGTCTACTCATGCAGCCGGAAATAATGGCATAGATGTTCCGTCTCCTTTTGCATGACAAACTTGCTAATTCTATCTCTTTCAAGTTTTCCAGCCATGCGAGAAAACGCAATACAAATTTTTGTTTCCTGTTACTGTAACGCCATGTGCGAGCGTGTAGTTCTTTTCTGTGGGATATCCGCAGATCTGCTTCAAGGTCGGACGCCGTTATGCGGACCTCCACTTCGCGCACCAAACTATGAACTGCAAAAGTATCGCACTCGTATAAATGCATTACAAATTTCCTCAGCATGAGAAATAAAATTTGTCATGCTGATTTACGCCAAGAAAAAGATTTGTAATGCATGATTGCAATTACTACGAGTACGATACTTTTGCACAGGATATTGAGTAGCGATCCGGAAACTGGATCTCCATGCAGGGATCGACGATGGAGAACATGGCACGATTGTATCCAAAAAAAAAAAACTGCCATCCCCATCCAATTTGTCATGCAAAACATGTATGAATTTCTGTGTTTGTGATGCATAAAATGAATGGGGATGGTTATTTTTTCCTGCATAGACTGGCCCCGCCCCGGTGCGTGTAGAGGTGCGCGTGCGGCGGTTTGCCGTAGATCATCGCGTAAAGGATTATCCCCAACGACCAAATATCCGTCTCCGGCCGCATTTTCATACTGGACTCGTACTGCTCGCCCTGGTGGAAGGCCTCCGGGGCCATGTACAGAACCGTCCCGCAGTGGCCGTGCCTGCTAATGTGGGTTTTGTTCGGTTCCAGCACCCTGGCGAGCCCGAAGTCGGACAGCTTCACTTTGGTCCGATTGTCGAACAACAGAAAATATGCTGCGCAAAAGTACCGCACTGCTACTCGTTGCAAGTAAAACCATGCATGACAAATCGATGTATAATTTTTCTACCTAGAAGTCGCCAGCCTAGCATGACAAATTGCATTTTGAAAGTTGAGGAGAATTCTACTTGCAATAAGAGTTATTCTGTGCGATCCATTTGTATTGCGTACGAAGTTGCCAGGTTTCAGGTCAAAGTGCACGATCTTCTGTGCGTGGATGAAGCGGACCGCGGCAACCATTTGTGTGAAGCAATGGAGGATAACCGACAGCGGCATGAACTTCTGCAAGGACCGGGCAAAGAAGCTGCGGTGATACGCTTGAAAGTCGCAGTCCGCGTACTCCAACAGAATGTAAAGCTGCAGCGTTGGCGTGTCGCACCGACAGCCCTATCGAAAGAAATGATCTGCGGTTGTGGTAGTTGTTCCCTTTGCATGATATGTGGGTACTTTGCTTCTTGCAAATTTCATATACACAGCCAGAAGGAGTGGCTGCCAGCTTGTATTTTATCGTAGCAAATAAGCGAAAGGCGAAGCGAGACGCTTGTTGCGTCACTTTCACGGATGTTTTTATTGAGTGCCGCTGTTCACCATGTAGCAAGACAGGTTCGCCTCTGGCTCGATCATAAAAACAGGACAGTAAATTATATATCAAAAGATGAAATACCCCATCGTCAGGCTGACGGCCTCTATTTGAGGTTTCGTTCGGCATGACAAAGTGATTGTGACGACGATAACTTCCAAGCCTGCAAAAGCCTTTTTTCCAGCGTGGCGGGAATACCGAGACCACCAAGACCATTTTTTCACTTCGATAACCCGTAACAGCGCACGACGTATTCTCGGCCCTCCTCCTTGTTTTCTCGCCGGGTGAGCTTCTCCAACAGCGCTGCCTCCTGGCGAAACAAGGCGAGCTCCCGCTTGCTCTGCGCTTTCAATGACTTTAAAGCGAAGTTAAAGCCACCGCGGTGCGCCTTGTAGACTTCTGCCGTGCCGCCACGGCCCAACAGCTGCTGGACCTCAAAGGACCCGTCGTCGAGGCGGAACGAGGTCTTGACCTCGTCTTCCCACTGTCGGAGGCTTCCGTGGTCCCGCGCCACCATATTGTTTTTACCGGCAGCACCCTTTGCGCTGTTGTTGTGCCTAGTCTTCGACGCGCGCGGCACAGATGCAGCTGACGACGTTGTCCGCTTCTTTCCACCTTCGTTGGCGGCCACCGGCGTTCTTTCCTTCCGTTCGCCATCCGAAATCGACGAAGCCTCGGGGCGGCGAAGATCCGTTGAGCCGAGGCTCGCTCGCCTTTTGGGCGTGGATGACGCAGGCGGGCGTCGCAGGTCGGTTGACCCGAGGCTTCCGGTCCTTCTCGGAGTTGCGAACGCAAGCTGCCGTCGCAGATCCGTTGAACCCAGGCGGTCTCGTCGATGAACCACATTTATTCCCGTCGATGAAGCAGGCGGCCGTCGCAGATCCGTTGAACCCAGGCGGTCTCGATGAACCACATTTATTCCCGTCGATGAAGCAGGCGGACGTCGCAGATCCGTTGAACCCAGGCGGTCTAGATGAACCACATTTATTCCCGTCGATGACGCAGGCGGACGTCGCAGATCCGTTGAACCCAGGCGGTCTTGATGAACCACATTTATTCCCGTCGATGACGCAGGCGGACGTCGCAGATCCGTTGAACCCCATACCGAGTGGACTTTGTTGCCTTCTGTCATGGCTCCCCTTCCTCGTCACAAGAAGCTACAGCTGGTGGAACTTTTCGTGGAACCAAAACACTAGTTGATGTCGCCCCAATCGTATCAGCTGCAAAAATGTCGGGGTCTGGAAGAATGCCAGACTTGTCATGCAGATTTTTCATGGCCCATAAGGTCTGGCATGTAGGACATAGCATTACAGATTCTGTGAGAGTTCTCTCATGTCTATCCTGCATCAGGAACTGCCTCTCGATTAGGTCAAAAGTGGACAGCTTTTGGAAATCATGCAACACAGATTTTCACATGCTTCAGATTTAGCATGACAAGTTGCTTTGTTCCAGACCCAGACACCTTTGCATTTGATAAATCGGTGTGAGACGGTGGAACACGACGACCAGACACCAGTTCGAAAACACGGGCGTTTGCTTACAGGAACATAATTAGGAACGTACGACAAAAATCATGCGATCAAATATTCCGGCGCATGTCAAAACGATTGCACAGAGAAATAAGAGGGAGGCTTGTCGCGCCAGAGAGTATATCAAAGTTCACGATGCCGAATTCTATGATCAAGGAGGCAAAAAATCGCTCGTGCGAATATATAAGTAATTTAAATGGGGATTGAATTTGGCGAAAGAGGAAGTGCACTATTTTTGATTCTAATTAAAGTTACAAGAATTTTCCACGTGTTACAAAAGCGAGTACATTCTTAGATAAAACCGTGAAATACGTCGACAAAATTGGTTTTGATGTTTCAGAGAATTCCTTGTTGGTGGGTGAGTGCATTCACCGCAAAACATTGCAAAAAATGCACAAGGTTGCGGGACAGTAAAAGTTGCCGGGGACGAGGCGGTACAAAGACCGCAAGAAATAAAGCTACTCTAGCACACGAAAAATGCCCGGAACCAAAGGCAACTCATCTGTGCAGTGGTGTTGTGAAACGATTCCACGAAGCGACACATGCCACCATCAAGGAACGCTCACACAACACCGGGTCGCTGTGAATGAAGATCATAAGATGACTATGAACGAAGTGTAGTAATGTCGAGGGATCAGAAATTGCGTCCTTGCGTTCCCAGAAACGAAAAACCCAGTGCCCACGTAGCGACACACGTCGCTAACCAGGACATAGGTCAGATGTCATGCCGAGTACGAAAATAAAACAAGCGACACTATGTTGTACCACGCAGGCTACCGCACATGACGTTGCTATTGCTTATTTGACATCACACTCCACATTTTAAGTACTAGCAGGCCCCAAAAATTATATGATCATGCCTCGCCTCTTACTTCTTCAACAGTCAGAGCCATGAATATTCTTGCTCTTGCGCCTTGTTCTAAGCCGTATTCGTACTTACTACTTTCCCGCAGATCTCTAACCCCTGCCCGAAGTTAAGTTGAGCCATTTTTACTTCAGCATTCTAACCGAGATCCTTTGGAAAAATGACGGGGGACACAGTCTAAAGGTAAAGCCCAGTTGTTCTTACGTACAAAATCAAAATGCATCAACACGACTTTTCATCTTCTTGGGGTGGGCGCGGGTGCTCTACACTTAGGCTAGATCTCAGCTCCATACGCTCCTTCTGCGATCTTGTTACTCTAGAGCTACAACTGCACACGTCCTGCGCAGCACGGATGTTGGGCCACGTCTTCGTGAGCCTATCTGAACTTTCCTGAGGAATTGCTTCTTCTTCGCAGTGACACTCGTCACTGGCGGCGAAGCTGAAATGGTTTCATCCGCCTGACCATCAAATGCTAAAATGTCTCGGTCTGGAAGGTTGCAAGACTTGTCATGCAGATTCTCCATGACCCATAACGCCTGTAATGCATGCCGTAGCACCACAGATTTTTCCACGGCTTGCCGATGCCTACTCCGCCTGAGAAATGCCCTTTCCGCGTAGCACAAAGTGGACTCCTCTTGCTGGTCATGCAATACAGATTCTATTAGAATCCAGAGATAGCATCACAAGTTGCAACCCTCCAGACTCACACATATTTGCATTTGATACTGACGGAAGGTTGCAGCACTCCGCTAAACTCATCCTACTTCTAGACCTTGTTTTGGAAGTTTTCTTGCTCTGATCGCCGAAGGGTGTCGGGCTCTTCTGAAATGAAAACTGTAGTTTGGGTGTACTACAATGGTGTTCAGCAGAAATGTCTTATAATGGTTCTCCGACACCGATGAAGTGTCAAGATGAACAGCGGAGCCGTGGTCATGTTCAAGCGTACGTACCCCACTTCATCTGCTTATCAGCCACAGATTGCCGGTTCCTGTCATCCTGAAACAATCAGTAGTCCGCGTGAAAGCGGAAGTCATGATGTTGCTAGAAACGCATTTGGGTCTTAACTTTGTTTACCTGGAAGACCAGGACGAGGACCGAAATTGCCCGGGCATAAAAGTGTTTCAACTGGCCCAACTGGTGATTTAAAACTTAAGTACTAAGCGCACCGAACATGGTGCGTGACATTACTTGAAAGTCGGAATTTGTCCATCGTGAAACGCGCAAGACTTTGGGATGTGCTCTATTCGGCGTTCTCCTCCGACGAAAACTCCGGTAGCAAAAAAATGGCTTATCATTCCTTTACGATGCTTGAAAACGCGAGATCTACTTTCTTGATTAACACCACTACTAGTACGTCCTTATGGCACTGATACTGACTTCCCACGTGGTCAATCCACCTACCGCCGGCTTGTTATCTATTGGTATTGTAGTTGGAGAAAAATATCGATATTCTGCCCTACCCCCGCTTTTGCAGCGACGTGAGAAGAGTAACTGGTGGAAGGATCATATCGAACATTGCAATTTATCATGTCAGGGTCAAAAGAGGTATAAAGTACATTATCCACGGATTTATTCTTTGGCAATGCTGTTTTAGTGATTTCGAGTCAAAAACAGTACTCTATGTACATCATTATTCTGGGCGGGTAGAAAACAAATGATGTTGTGGGGAAAAACAAAAAAATGACATGGAGAAAAACAAAACCCATAGCCATATACGAATTCATAGTAATCTTTTGTTCTTAATTAGGGTCAAAATGAGGCGGGCACAGGCAGTGCTCGTCCTTTCTCTGCAACATGTTTTCCGACTGAAAGGGGGCCTTTGCGGTGCTTTACTCGAAGCCCGGCCAGAGGTCGTCGGAAGCGCTGTACCACACCCGGCTCTCCAGGTCATCCACAAAACCTGGCATTCGGTCGATGTACGGTGGGCGCTTTAACACGTGCTCCACGAAGCGTCGCGGGCTTCGCGATACCGGCGCTGCGTTGAAAAGTTCGATAAGCTGGAGAAGCTCTTCGGGCGGCGGCGGAACCGGTTGGCCTCGAAGCTGGTCTTGCGGGTGCCACAGCCCGGGCGGGGCGATGGGATCTTCAAGCCTCCCTTCCATTGCTGCAGCAGCAAATCGGGCCCACCTAACCAGCACGGGCCCCTTCTTTTCCATCCGGGCTCCTGCCGACACGCGCCGCGTCCATCCCCGGGGCACAACGCCACACCGATGGGCGCCGAGCGGGTCACTCGCGTTCCGGGGCGAAGTCCACGCACTTATTAACCTGACATTTTTCCCGCAAATTGTGTTCTTCGAGCGCCAGCACAGAGAAACACCTACATCTGCTTTTCGACCACTTCGTGTGGCAAGAAAACAAACGCCCTTTTCTGCATACGAAAGTACTGGTGACTCACATCTTGTTCCGTAAGCGGCACTTCAGCTAAACTATTCCTAGAAGATTAATTGGATTTCGGTGTCCTGAATTAATTTCCGCGTTGAAATAAAGCAGTACCCTTGCTCCTCCAGGCGGTGCACATGCAAAGCGATCGTTGCCATCTCTGGATCTATATGCAGTGCAAATGTGTCTGGGTCTGGAACAGAGCAAGGTTTGTCATGCAGGTTGCGCATGACCCTGAGCCAGAGAGAAGGTTTGGAATGGTGGCTCCAGTAGCATCACAAGTTTTTTTGAGAAATCTCCTCGATGCTTCTGCCGGGTGCAAAACGTTGCTGTGGGCTTTTGGTGCTGGTCCTCATGCAACACAGATTTTTGTGATTCTGTCGATCAGATCTAGCATGGGAAACTGAGACACCTCCAGACCCAGACATAATAACAAGTGATAATTCAAAGCCGCTCTTGGTCCACCGGGGCGGTAGGCTCTCTGGTAGGCCAGGCTCGAGACAATTCGCGCCCGGCGTGTCGTGTAGAAAAAGTACAGCTAACGCAGCACACTTGATGTCGCCACGGTGCATAGAGAATAAGAACTACCGAGGTCAAGGTAGTTAGCACCTCCAGCGTAGGAGCAGCTCGTCCTACACTCATTAGTAGACCACTTCTGCATCATCACTCATCTGAAAAATCAGTTTATGATTTGTATACAAACACGACGCAGCAATAGCCGTAGTTTTCTGCTTGATAGGAGTGCGTATATCCCCATGAAGACACTTTACCCCGTAGACGTAGGTGACGTCATTTTTGTCGAAAGGCACGGTGTTGAGGATCGGGCACGTGATGTACTTCAAAATCGCTACCGTGGTGGTTCCCGGGCGGATTATCTCGTTCGGAGGCAGTGCTGCGAGGGCCTGCGCCTTTACATCTTTCATACGCCGTTTTCCCAGCTCTTCCCAGGCATTGTAAAGCACCGTGCCAGTTCTCTTGACAACGATCTCGCCGGTCTCAATACCTGGCGTGTTGTTTTTAAAAGAGAATCCTGCTCATCAAGTGCGGAAGAAACCTAATTTCCTATCTATCGATTATAGATTGGAAAAAACTATACACGAAGTCCCGAACAAGAACGATATTTTCTTTGGTCGTCGTAGACTTTCTATTTTTTCTTTGTGGCTGAGCAAGCCGGTGCTAGCTGCTTCGTCGAACTAGTAACTACGCAATTATAGATACATACCTCGCCTCTCCAGCAACAGGTCTTCGCACGGCTCGATCCCGACTTCCCCATCCGGGCCCCTGCGCTCAAAACAGGCTGTGGAGGTTATGAAACTGCAAACAGCAGACTCCACACCCAAGTCACAAGCTCCACTAGCACGCTTGTGCTGGGGCGTTGCTCTGTTCGTTATCGAAGGTTAGTTCGAATGGCCCGCCGCATACAAGAGGATCCAAGAGACAATTAGAGAGTCGCGCACCTCCCAGGGTGGCCTTGGGTGTGGAGGCTGCAGTTTTTGCATCGATACAAATTGGGCTGCGGCTGTCCAAAGGCGCGGGTTCCCTCACCGGATCTTTCATTAGCTGGCGACCTTATCAAAAATCATGATTTATTTCCCAATATATATTTTTGTCGCGACAACATGGCAAAACGAAAACGAGTGCACTGAATGGGACAATGCTAGGTTCTATGATGTTGCGCTCGTTTTACAAACTGATAGCAAAAAGAAGTATGTTGAGAGCAGCACAAATAAACCGCACAAAAGCTCTAAGTCTAAACAGCTTTAATAATCTCTATGGCCTGATTACTTATCGGGCAAATCCAGGACGGCCGGTTGGCCCGAAAGATCCGATGGTCTTCGTCAAGCTCCCTTTCTGCGGCCGCCAGTTCCCAGTACCGGGTGCGCGAAATACCTCCGCTGAAATTTTTGTAGTTCGCATTGTCCCCGAATTCGTCCGTCGACCATGGCGGCACACGAAATGGGGGTCGTTGCCACTGAGTGGTCCTGAGTAAAAACGTCCCTTGTTCCCGAGAGTCAAAATTGAAGATGGGCATTTTGTTTTTGCGTACACAAACCGATATACTTTCGTATGACGCGCATGAAAAATTTGGCATCAGACTGTAGTTGGCTTTATTACGTGAAAAAACTTCAATGAGTTGTTCAGCTGCATCACAAATTGATCACCTCGTCCTGGTTTCAGCATGACAAAATCTAAAAGAAGACTACTAACTAGGAATCTTTCTCACGAGCGGAAGAGAGACCTCTGTTTTGAACGTGCAGATTTGCTTGACAAGTACGGAGCAGAGGTCAATGGGGACGATTTTACACAGGATATGAGGTCCTGCCAAAGCATTACTTCGCCCCCTGGGGCGAGGATCTATCTCCCCTTCTTCATCCGAGCCGCCCGGGGTGGAAAGGTTGTAATCAATGGCGGGCGGAGACCCGGCTGCGGTAGGTGCCAGCCTCGGTGAGCATAGAGGCGACGGGAGCAGAGCGGGGGGCGCAGCAGGTGGAGGGGGCCCAACGACTTGACCACCACTGGTCCCGGAGCTGAAGGTGGTCCCTTGCGTAGCGATGCGCCCCAAGTTGGTCTCCCTCATCGAGTTGAAGTCTGGCGACGCTGCTGCATTCGGTCGCGCGCTCCTGCTTGGCGGCGTATTATGTGCGAACGCGCATGGGTCTGAGTGTTGGCAGATTTCCGTTGCACATTTTTAACAACCCACATGCGCATTTGATTCGGGTTGTCATGCTCGCATGCTGTGCGGAACAACGAAATAATGTTGTGACGTTTGTGCTGCATCATGCACAGTCGCATTTTTCTCAGTTAATCTTATCCGTCAGACCCAAACATTTCTTCGAAACGTAAGGTGGCTGCATCGGCAATGCGCGGATCGGTGGTCCACTAGGGTGGCCGGCGTCTCTTCGTCCGCTCGTCTATGATAACTTTGAAAGCCTCACCCCCACATCCGCCTTGTTATTCGTATACTAAAATCAAAGTGTAATATTGGAGTAGGTGGAGACGCTTGCAACCCGGTTGTACAGAGCTGAACTACAAAAACAACATACACTCTACAAACTGTGGCAACGACCTCGATCTAGGAGGCTGCCGGCAGCGCGAAACCCCAACACACGCTGTGGCAAGCATATTTTTCTGGGCATGGATGCGGAGTCTCGGCGGCGTTATGACCATGCATACTTCCGACGCACTACTCGCCCTCCCCTTTGATGCGAACAGGTTCATGCCAGGTCCACCCACCTTCGGCAGGCTCCAGGGCTTTGGCCAGCTCGACCTCCAGGGGCTTAGACTCGATGACGACAAAGACCTTGCCAACTCCGATGTTTTTGGAATGTCGGGATACAGAGGGCGGGCAGCCGCAATGCTTCTGGCTCCTACGCCACCTCGGCTACTGCTCCACGCTCGATCTTCTTGCGACACCAAATTGGATTCGACACTTTGATGGCGCGTATTCGACGACGACCCTCTGCCGGCTGCTGGCGCGGGACTGGAACTTCTCCCACGCAACGGCAGCGTCGGCACTGAATGGTCTTGCGATGTGCTTGCAGAAGCACTAGATGGGGCCGGGGCTGCTGCGCTCGCAGGGCGAGGCATGGTCCTCCGAAACCGCAAAGGCGAATTTCCGCTACTAGTATTCGACGCAGCGCTGCTTGGTCCGATGGCACTGGCAGAAGTTGAAGTACGATGTGCTGTTATTTGCTCCGACGACGTACGGTGCCGCGGTGCTGGGATCACGACTCGTGACGAAGCGTTACTGCCTAAAACACCGGAAGCAGAACTGGCGTGTCTGGTGCCCTGCGGAGGCAAGGTCTCTTCGTGCCTTCGCCTACGAGCAACAAGCCCATCGTGGCTTTGTTCAACCTCCTCTGAGTTATCATTATTCGTCGCGAGCGCGGCGGCCTCGCCGGCGTTACTTCTTGCACCAATCGAAACTACATCGCGGGCGCTCTGTGGGCGGGTGTTATCGTCAACATCTGCGGGCTGAGTAACCGCCCTGCCATCGCAAGGATCCTGAGTAGAACAAGTGGAGGCAGCATGGGCGGAATCTGCAGCCGGCAGTTGTATTTCGTGTGGCGCCGGCACAGGTACTACCGCGCCTCTGCTCGTCGTACTGCTAGCCGGTGTAGCTAGAAAACCCGCTTGCGCAACGTCGACTCCCGTGCGGGTGAGTAGTTCAGGCTGCACAAACACCGGCAGACCCGCATGACCCGAATCTTGCTGAAGCCCGTCCCGCCCACCTACCGTTACACCACCTGCGGACGGGGGGCTGGCGGTAAGTGGTGTTGCGCCACCACTGGTCGAGGTCCCATCGCTAGCGGGCTGCCCACAACCTATCAACGAGGTGCCTCCGGTCGTCGGCAAGGTTGCGCTCAGCAGTGCCGCATCGCTACTCGGAATTAATGTCCCGCTGCTAGTGGGTGACGGCTCGCCAAGCACTCCCGGAAGTGTCGCTTCTGGTGGCAGGGGCGACTCGTGTTGCGGTGGGTTAGCTTGTGTGATTGGAGGACTCGGTGCGACTAACGCAGCCGGCAGGTTTCCACCGACCCGTGCGGCGGGCTCCCCGCCACCGCGAAATGCATTGAAAAAAGTCGGAGCCCCGGGGCCAACGGACCAGCTCGAGCTGCTATTCGTCGTCGAGTTTTCGTCCGACGGAGACGTGTTCATCCTGGCGGCCTCATTACCAAACTTCGTTCCAGTTGCGAACAAGCCCATGCACAGGGACACCCCGATTCCTGCACACAGGAAGGCACACGAAACTAAAATCATTGCAGGAGGTCCAGACCAGAAGACGCCGCTTCGCAGAAGGCCGCTAGAATGGGCAGTAGTCCCTGTCCCGCCAGCTTCAAAACTACCTTCCGCTGAGACGCACTGGTCTACTTCGCGGGAACGGTCAGCAGGCGCGTTCGCTATTTTGTCGTCCGACAGCAGCAGTGGTGTTTCCTCATTTTCCAGCACAGCAGCAGCGGCGTAGCTCATTTTCCCTTCACGTTCAACGGCAGTTGCAGTTCTCAACCTTCTTCCGTTCTCATCATGTTTTTGCCACCATTTTGCACGGCAGTTGAAGCCATGCACCGCTGGTTCTTGCACAGAAACGACGTTTCTGTCAGCGCTGGGCCTCTTCGGCTCCCTGCCCACCTCCGGAAGTAGCTCGTCTCCCGCCTTTTTACTACGATCGGATTCTTCGTCTTCGCCTGCCGGTGGCAGTGGCGCCAAGCCACTATGTTTGATTCTGCCGTCGTTGGTGCAGCTCCCAAGATCATCTTCACCGCCAGCTTGTTCTCTCCTATCCGGAGCCTGGCCTTCTTCGACCGACTTTTCAAGGCTGCCCGGGCAAAATATCCTGTGCAAAAGTAGTATCGCACTCGTACTACTTGCAACCGTGCATAACAGAGCTGGTTTATTCCTGAGACTCAGTTGTGATGCAGCACTCTACAAATTCGGATTCCACTTTTCAAGAAGAAAACATTCGTCTTGCCAGTAGTACTAAACAAGTGCGATACAACTGTTGCAAGTCATACAAGCGTCGCTTTTGCAACTCCCGTTTGCCTCGCTAGGGGCACGCGTGTCCCCAGAGGTGATGTGCTCCAAGCTAGGAATGTGCTTCTCGTGCAGCACGCTCGCGAAGCTCCCGGGAATCGGACGGATGGCGGCCCTCTGAAACCGAAAGTGCCTGTACAAGCTGGTCGCAGTTGCGCACGAGATCGCCTCTAATACGCGAAGGTCCCACTCCAGCTCGGAAGCCGTAATGCGCGCTCCGGTGTCCCGAACCAAGCAACGCTGCAGCAGGTGCATCAGGTGCTCGAACTTCTGTTCGTTGAGCACCGGTTCTGTAACGTTTGCCGAAGATGAGGAGCTGGCGGGCTGCTTGCCCGGCGCAGCTATCGTACAACTACCGCGGTTGTTTTCATCTTGTCGTGCCACCGTGCAGCTGTCGCTGGCCGCCGCGTAGACCGAGTATCGGTCGGGATATTGGATTTCCATGCAGGGATCGATGATGGAAAACATGGCGCGGTTGGCCCCGCCGCGCGGGGTGTACAAGTGCGCGTGCGGGGGTCGTCCGTAGATCATGGCGTACAGAATCACGCCCAGCGACCACACGTCGGTTTCGGACCGCATCTTCATGCTGTGCTCGTACTGCTCGCCTTGGTGGAATGCCTCCGGCGCCATATACAAAACGGTGCCGCAGTGGCGGTGGCGGCTGATGTATCAAAAGGAAAAACCCCCCCTCCCCATATTGGCAAGCTACGTTTTCGAAGATTTGTGTTGCTGGTTTGTAACCACAAATCGACTCTGTGTTGCGTGAAGGCAACTCCACAGGCTCCGCCGCATTCTACAGGCGGTTTGTCATGCTTATGTTCCTACAGCGAAGAAGTCTGTCATGCTACGCGCCTAGGCCAAAACCTGTCTTCTCAGGCTTGATAAGGGCCTGCAGTCCTTGCCAGCAAGACAAATCTGATTCGTGTACGCAAATCCAGCATCAGAAACTTCGTTTTGACATGGGGAGGGGGGATTTTTCCTTTTGATATGATGTGCGTTTTGTTCGGATCCAGGACCCTGGCCAGGCCGAAGTCGGACAGCTTCAGCTTGGTTTTCCGCTGGAACAGCAGGAAGTTGGCTGGCTTCAGATCAAAGTGCACAATCCTTCGCGAGTGGATGAAGCGCACCGCGGCGGCCATCTGCGCGAAGCAGTGCAGGATTACGTCCAGTGGCATGAACTTGGCGGACCGGCGCCCGAAGAAGCTGCGCTGGTATTCCTGAAAGTCGCAATCCGCGTACTCCAGCAGGATGAAGATCTGCAGTTTTTTATTGTCTGGAAAACCGACCCCATCCCATGTTTGTCATGCATATCCTTTGTGTATCTGTTTATGTAAATCTGCACGTGTGCCCCCCAGAACCAGATCTGTCATGCGCAGCCCCACGGGAAGCAGCCTGAAGTGGTGTTTCGAAATGTCCCACATGTGGCTTAGTGATGCGTTCGCAGAAGGTAAACACGAGTAGGCTTGTGCGGCCCCAAACTTGTCATGCACATCACAGCTTCACGATAAGTCTTTCAGATCATATATCCATCTTGACTATGGGGTGGTGGCGCTTTATTTACTGCGGCTACTGCTCGGGCTCGCATCGCGACCCGAAGCAGCGGACCACGTACTCGCGGCCCTCCTCTTTCTTTTCCGCCCGTGTGATATGGAATGCAAATATGTCTGGGTCTGGGAGACTACGACGAGATTTGTCATGCTAGTCTGGCATGAGGACTCTGGGATCTGTATTGCGTGGCAACCAAGAGCTCCCCTAGCCTGTCATGCGAACACGCAGTTTCTCATGCGGAATACGCAAAACAGAAGCATGAAAAAACTTGTCATGCTTGGCGGCGCATTACAGTGTCCTTATTGTTCATGTTCAGTGACCTGCATCACAACTTTCCAGACACAGACATTTTTGCATTTGATATGTGAGCTGCTCCAGCAACTCCGCCTCCTTCCAGAAAGCCGCCAGCTCCCTTTTGTTCTTATCAAATGCAAAAGTGTCTGGGTCTGGAAGAGTGTAAGATTTGTCATGCATATTTCTCATGACCCATGATGCCTGTAATGCATACCTAGCATCGCAGACTTTTAGAGGGCTTCCTGATGCCCCTTCCACATGAGAAACGCGTTGTCCGTGTAGCGCAAACGGCGCTCCTCTTGCTGATCACGCAATGCAAATTTTTTCAGAGTCCAAAAACAGCATGACAAGTTCCACTCTTCCAGACCCAGACATATTTGCAATCCATAGTTCTGGGCCTTTACCGATTTCAGCGCGAACTCGCACCCGTTCCGGCTGGCGCGGTACACCTCAGCGCTTCCCCCGCGTCCCAGCAGCTGCTCGACTTCGAAAGAGCAACGTATGCAGGAGAAAATACTTCTTTTATTCGCTCATCTCTTCAGAAGCAGTAGCACCCAAAATGCCTCTCTACTGACAAACCAGAACCCTACAAGTAAGTAATGCACAAAAGTACTTTATTTTCCCCTTCGTAGCATCGCCGAGGTGAAAAGACGTCCTTATCTCCTCCTCCCACTTCCGCAAGGAGGTCGTGGGGTTGGCGCTCGGGTGAATTTTCGCCGCTGGACGGCGTGGGTTGCCGACAACCTTCTCTTGCGGCCCCCCATCTGGTGAGACGACCTGTGCGGGTAGATCGGCACTGCCTTGTGTTGAAGTTGCCGGCGGGCGACGACGGTCCGTCGTTCCGAGGGGGCAGGAACCAGGGCGGTGATCTGCTTGCCGTTATCAAGGTGAAAAGATTTTTCAACAATTCAGCCGAACAAACGCAACCAATCATGTACACATGAGGGCGAAAAGGAGCTGCACCAGCATCTATCAAGCTATAAGCCGCTACATAAATTGGAAAAGCGATTCTCAATTTTTCTTCGAATAAAGCTGGCCTTGCAGAAAAACACTTTTCCCCAGCCAGCTTCGTGTTGTAGTCACGAAGTGTATATCTTTTTCAACCTTGATACGGTGTTGCCGGTCGTCGTTGCTGGCGGACGCAGACGATCCGTCGTTCCGAGATGCAACGACGGGGCCTCGGGACTTCCTCCAAACATCGCGACGGGGACTGGCGGTAAAAATACGCCAGTAAAATTCCTTCTGCACCAGCGGCCCTCGGGAAATCCGGTCGGGCAGCGGCAGCACGTCGACGGCCACTAACTTGCTTGTAAAAGGTAGAGAATGCTCAAACTTATGACTTTTGTTGTAGTGCCACGTGTAGTTGTAGTTGGCACGCGGCCAAATAAGCAGAACTCCAAGCGAAACACCTACCATTTTTTCACCTGCAACAAGTGCAACGACTTGGATTCCCATCGTGATTTGGTGAGTAGGCGGATCCCTTCGGAACACAGAAAATAGAAGAAAGCGATAGCATGAGAGGCGTTTTTGGGGTATGTGTGTTGTGTAAATTGTGAAGGAAGCTGGCCCCCTTGCTTGAATTGCGAAACACGAAAAGCGAAAAAAATGCAAAGCCTATCCCTAACATAATTAATATACTAAGCAAAGAGAAGGGGGAGGCGGCTCCCGAAATGCGAAACGCGAAAAGCGAAAAAGAAAAGGGCCCCAAGACAATGAACAGAGTAAGCAGAGAAAAAGCGGAAGCGACCCACGAAAAGCGAAGCGCGAAAAGCGAAGAAAGCGACCGGGGAAATCATTAGCGAGGGAGATAGAGAGAAACGAAAGCCGCCCCCGAAATGCGAAACGCGAAAAACGGGAGCAGCCGGCTGGCTTTGTTCCATCCACACGCAAACCCAGGCCAGTGCGGACCGCGGGCGCGTGCGCGAACGTTTTCAGGGGCCGGATTTTGCTCCGCGGGCGCCTCGCGGAGGGCGTCTGAAACGCATGCGGGCAAGACCGCCCCCTGCTTACTAACTTGGGCAAAAATATCACTCCTATGGGAAGCCTCCTCGCGTATGCGCCCGCTTGTCTTCAGACTTGGCTTCCTGCGTGGGCGCGCGTGCTGGAACATCTAGCGCGGCAATGGCTCAAAATCTAGGATGAGAGGATAGGGCCTAGCTACCTCTACGCAAAGAATGCGAGCGCGACTAGGACCCGGACCAATGTGCGGGGCGGATCTATACCTGTCGGAAAGATATTGAGTGGGGTATATAGCGCAAATGCATCGCGATGTCGACACACCTACAGCACGGAGAAGACGAAGCGGGTTGAAAGCTTCTACCGCTGCTGACCGAAGCCATGCGCCGACCTTGGCCCCCCGGGGCGCAGATGGTTTGGGTTAGCAGCGCAAGGGCCTCCGCTCATGGCCCTCCCCTTTCATCATTTCCAAGCACAACGAAGCGCAGGGGCTTGCGTGTTTCCTTCTGTTGGATGGTGAGAAGGCTGCGCGCGTTTACTTTCTCGAGCCACGCGCGGCCTTCTCGACCTCCTTCGATCTCGCTCAGAGAAGGGCTAGCGCTGTTGCCCTGGCCACGGTAGCGCTAACTTTGCGACGCCACCGCTTCGCTTCGAGCACGATGGCGCCCAGGGCAGGCCCCTCATCTATTGACGAGGGGCCTGCGCTCTTTTCTTTGAACCACGAGCAGGCTCTCTTCTCATCTAATTCGTTTGCGCTTTTAGATGGGGTTGCTTGCTGCGGTGGACAAGGTCGCCGGCTTCTCGTCATTTTCCCAGCGCGCTGACTCGCATGGATTTGCTTCCATTGGTGGAGAAGAACGCGCGCGCTTTCGTTCGTCGATCTCCTTCGATCTCGCTCAAAGAAGGGCTAGGCCTGTTGCCATGGGCAAGGCAGCGCTAACTTTGCGGCGCCACCGCTTTCGAGCACGATGGCGCCAAGGGCAGGCCCCTCATCTATTGACGAGGGGCCTGCGCTCTTTTCTTCGAACCACGAGCAGGCTCTCTACTCATCTAATTCGCTTGCGCTTATAGATGGGGCTGCTTGTTGCGGTGGACAAGGTCGCCCCCTTCTCGTCATTTTTCTTGCGCGCTAATTCGCGCGGATTTGCTTCCATTGGTGGAGAAGAACGCGCGCGCTTTCATTCTCGAGCCACGAGCGAGCCACCAGCGCCAGCCTGATGCACTTCGTTGGCGCTGGTGGGCGGGGTTAGTTTCTTTGTTGCTATGGCCCGGATCTTCCCGCGAAGCTGCCCGCGCGGTTTTGTGCTGCCGCTCGCGCCTCGAACACGGTGGGGGGCCTGGCGCCGTCCGACGGCTCTCCGAGGCGCCCATCGCTGCGCCCTGCTACAGTGGTGCGCCAGCCGGGAAGCTTCTCGCGATATTCATGGCGTGACACACACACACACGCACACAAACAGAAGCGCCCTCGCATGAGTGCCCAACTTTTTCGCCTCCGGCCTACGCTGCAGGGTGCCAGCCCCCTCTGGGGCTGCGGCTGGTGCGACCGGCCAAGGGCCCGCCGCGCCATTTTGCAGGCGCGGCACGGGCCAAACGCTGCGACTGGGATCCATGCCTCCGCTTTCCGCGCGCTCTCCCGGCCTCTCGCCCGGCCAAAAGTAAGACCGACGGGCGGGAGGGTGGTCAGCGTCGGTCTGCTGTGCGTGGGCGTACGTGCGAGCCGCGTGCCGGGCGACAATATCAAAACCAAGAGCCAACCCCCCCGGCCCCCGGCCTCTTAGAACTGGACGCACGCGGCTCCATGCGCATAAATGCGAAAGCTCGCGTATGTTGCTAGGTAGTGCGGGGGGGAGGGGGGGCCAGCGGAACCAACGCTCAAAGCGGAGCGGCGCCAATGTCTCTACTTAGTAAGGGACGAGGGGCCTGCCTTCTTTTCTCGCCGCTTTTCGCGCTTGGCATTCGGAGGCGCTTCCGCTTTGTTTTCTCTCTTCTTACTCTACTCACCATCATGGAACCCGCCCCGGCCGCTTTGTTGTTTTTCGCGTTTCGCGCCTCGGAGGCACTTCCGCTGTCCCTCTTTCTACGCTACTGATTAGCCACGGCGCCGCTTTGGCATTGGCTTGGCGCTTTTCGCGTTTCGCATTTCGGAGGCGCTTCCACTCTCTCTCTCTCTCTCTCTCTCTCTTCTTCCTACTCTATTAACTCTCCACGGCCCCCCTTTGGTTTTTCGCGTTTCGCATTTCGGAGGCGCCTCCGCTCTCTCTTTTCTTACTCTCCTGGCTCTCTACTGCCCTCCCTTGGTTTTTCGCTTTTCGTGTTTCGCATTTCGGAAGCGCTTCCGCCTTCTCTATACTTAACTGGACAGATCTGCAATCCCTTCTAGAAAATTAGGTGAATCACGGTGGTGCTCTGCTTATTTGGCCTCCTCCCTTGTAGTTGTTTTAGAAGGATAAAACAACTACGAGGATGCTGATGGCGGCGCTCTTCATTAAGCGTTTTATTTTCATATCAACTTCATGCGTTTTTGAATGGTTTTCATTAGCACTTTAGGGTAGGTGGTGGGGTCAAAAATGGTGCAGGTACTCGCATCTCACTTCGAGTGCGTTTTCAAAGAATAGGAAAAAGGACGTATACGACGAAATTATAAAACGTAAGGGTAAAACATTTGAAAATACGGGCTCGAATAGAGATGACAAAAAACTACATTGAGTACTCGTAAAACCGAGCGGACCTTTAGGGCCATGAGGGAAGTAATGAAGACAACTTTTTGCTATTCTATGTTGTAGCACCGCACTGCAGCCCGGTTGCCTGCAAAGCCGTGCACCGAAACCAAGGCAAAGGGATTGCGCTGAGTGCCGGGGTGTGCAGAAGCGATAACTACCATCACAGGAACAGCATACTTAAATAAGAGTAGATCCACAGAACTGGCTAGTCGAAAGTTTCTGCCTCAGAAGATGTAAGTGAGCATGCTGCTTTTACTGGTAAATGCATAAATGCCAAAATTCCCAAACTCGCTATAGACAAGACCACGCTTAGCCGCGAAAAATGAAAATGCCAACGAACAGGGGGGTGCCGCAAGTGGGGCGGACAAAACGTTCCCGGCCAGACAATGTTGACGCGTGGCCCTCCACAAAACAGAAAGTCACCAGCGGAAGTTTTCTGGATGTGGTGGTGTGCGAGTACTACTACAGCGGGTAATGCTACTGCTATGGATGATCAACATTAAAGACAATGACAATATTGAAAAACGATAGCACCTCATGTACAAAATAAAACGGTAGACTGCCCGACGATAAAAAATGTTGGTAAAAAAAGGCCGTCGCAAATGCTCTCATCAATGGCAATGCTCGGCACATAAAAATGGTCTACATCTCCTCATGCAACTGCTCGCCTGAAGTTGATGTTTGCGAAGCGGGCCTGTGCGAGGACTTTTCCAAGTAGCGACACACGTCACTAGCAAGGAAGTTGGCTCTACTTTGAGAGCCTGGTGCTGCTGCTGCATGATTGTGTAAAAGTCATCCTTTAAAAGGGTAATCTTTTCGAAGAATCATGCTCTACCTGTGCGAGAGGTGGCAACGTTGGACCACTGGCGCAGGCACTCTCCATAACCACGTAGCGACACACGTCACTAGCCAGGAAACGGCGTTGTACTTCTAGGACATCTAGCGACAAAAAAATCGAATGGATCTAACGGTAACGCACGCATCGCTTGTGATCTTGATTGGGGACCGCCGGCGCTTAACTCAATGCTAGTATAGCAATAGATCTCCGCAGACACAGCAAAATTTATCAGTCTAGAATCACATAGACTCGTCTCCCTCTGTGCTGAAAAGGGGTCGGGCTGATAGCTGTATAATTGCGCATAACTTTTTGTAATTTGCCAACTCAGTAGTTTTCTTTTCTATTGCGGACTACATTCATTAATCGCTTGTAAAAAACCTACTTTCTTTTCCGGTGAAGTAAACAAAAAACGTTGTCTGTCTCTGTGCAAAAGAGCCTCAGTAATGCAGTAAAATACGCCGCCAAAATGGACTACTCCCCTGCCTCCATCGGGGAGAATTCAAGATCACCAAGGAGGAGGCCGCCAGATCGTGCAGTATCAAAATACCAACACGGCAAAACCGTTTGGCCGGGAACGGACTGCGCACCACCAGGAACTGGGACAGCTGTTGCCCTTTGCTTAGCGCTCTAGATCTCCTTTATCTTCCTCGACTGCGTGCTCAACAAAAGCTAAAGCGGTGGGCGCAAGAACGTGGCTGCTCTTGATCCATCTTTGGTCGTGAGAATCAGGAGGCGCGAGATTGCTCATCCTCCACTCTATGTAGTTGTATTGTCTTCGAGCAGACGCAGATCGCTTGCGGGGGCCCCGTGATCGTGCGATACTACTATATTCTCAATGACGCAGATCCCTCCATCTCTGCGGACGACCACGCACGAACACTGACTCTTCTATGTTGCACCACGACCGTCTCGGCAGTGACTATATATTTTTCAGTGATGATCCAAATCTACTATGCGCAATAACGTATCCCTGGGCGGCGGCCACAGCTACTGTTAGCGCGGCGTGCGTCTGCCACATCAAAAGCCCGTCCACACGGGCACACGCGGCGACGACACGGCGTGTCCGCAGGTAGCCGGACAAAGCGCACACGCGCAGACGCGGCCGGGCAGTACCGCAGGAAGACTGGCAGGGCCAAAAAGCCGGCTGGGGCTTTAGTACGCAGGCGCAGCGTGGCAGAATGCCGGCGCCGCCGCGCCTGTGCTCCTATTATCCGGCCCCGCATGGGCGCCGGAACGACGCCGGCCGGACTGGTGGGCGACCAGGAAGGGGCTCGCTTGGCTTTACTGCGCGACGTGTGGACAGGGCGAGCCTGGTCGAGTTCCAGGGCGCGCAATTATTTGCGCGCGGGGAAATATCCGCCCCCGCCGTTTAGGTACATTTTCTTTTCGCCGAGGCTATCAACCGCAAATATACCTCGGTCTGGAGGGTGCGTGCGTCTCTCATGCATCTCGTAGGCCACGCAGGTGGTGGGGAATGCACGCGGAGGCATGAGCACAAATTGCGCACGATTCGAATCCAACATGACAAGGAAGTTGCATCCTTCGAGAGCCAGGCACGGCGGCAATGCGTAGAAGGATCCCGACGGCCAAACGTTCGGCGCGGACGCTTACCCGGACCCGTTGCTGTTCCGCAGGGGTGGTTCCACTCTTCCTCGGCCAAGAGCCCACTGAGGAGCACACGTGGCGGAAAGAAACATCGCGCGCCGCGGATGGAAGGCCGCTGACCGGCGCCCGACCACCGCCCGGCAGCCCCAATCAAGCGACTTTCGCCGGCCTTTTCACAGCGCCCACCGCTTCCCCATCTTGAATTTTCTGCACGTCACGCGTACAGATTTGGATTTCTGATCGTAGGTAAGTCAGCGGATTGTTTTTCTTTTAGTTTTATACAAGTCCAGAAGAATCAGTGCGCGCTCTACTCGTCCCTCCAGTACACAAGCTCGTCCCCTCCGTTAGGGTCAACTAACGCTCGGTGCTCAACTTCTCATGAATTGGCAGTGCTATTACACTTACGCCTTGAAGCTTTAAACGAAAAACAAATGTGGAAGTCGATTTCAGTGCTGCCACCTCCATAAACGCAATATTCACGGCGCTATAGAATATATATCGCTTTTCAGTCAGGATGACCGGATGCTGCTTGCCCTCTCGTGCAACTCTGTGCGGCACCCACTCCTGGCGCGGCGCGCGTCTGGTGCGCTAGCGCGGTCCCCATCCACATGGGCAGACGCGCCCACAACAGGGCGTTCCCGCAGCCAGCCCGACAACGCGCGCACGCTCGCGCAGACGCGGCCGGGCAGCACCGCAGGAAGGCAGGCAAAGCAAAAAAGCCGGCTGTGGCTAGAACGCAGGCGCAGTGCGGCAGAATGCCGGCGCCGCCGCGCCTGTGCTATTATTGTCCGGCCCCGCCTCGGCGCCGGAACGGCACGAAAAGGGCAGCCGCAGCGCCATGCGATCCACCCGGACGACGCCACTCCCGCTCGGCGCTTTTCCGGGGTCGTGGTCCCGAAGAGGCTCCCAACACATCAGCTTGCGGTGTGGATTATCCCGTGTAAAAAGGACTGGCGACCCTCTAGTACCAGTACTCAAATTATTGGCTTAATGATCTACAAGACATGAAGATGTTTTCAAGAATATAACGGCAAAATTGGTATTCGTATTCAAAAATCGCAAAAATTTTCCCCCCCGCCAAGCTCACTAGTGCAGGGCCTCCGCCTGCGGTGCCTGTTCTTCCGCCTCCGGTTTAAAGCCCTCGACGGCCGCGCTCCGCCTCCCGGTGTTTGAGGAAGCCGCCGCGGGGTGGCGATCGATAGCACTCTAATTGAGGACCAGCCCATGAGACTCAAGCAGTTCCGCTCTCCTTCCAGGGTCGCTAGTAACCCGGAAAGGTTTCTCGTTGCGTAGTTGTGCCAAGAAGCCCTCATTTACGCTACGCCCTGGTATGCCCTCTAGAAAGTGACGCTTTGCCAGCGCAGCTGTTTTCGGTGTAACCATCTCCGCCCGCTCAAGGTCCTTGAGCCACTTCACGATGTGGAATCGGAGGTTCTTCATCTTTCTACCAGAAGACCGGCCACCGTCAGTGCGCAGTCTTTCTATCTTTGCCTCCACCTCTGGCGAGACTGAAGGTTCAGAGCTACAGAACCGCTTGATAAGACCGCTCCGCCTTGCTTCGGGCGTATCGTCGACCCCGGCCAGACCTACCCCTATGGTTCCCGCATCGAAACTGGCGTCGCGCGGTGAGGCTACGTCAAAATAACGACACAGGACCGCTATCTCGAAGCTGCGAAAAAATTTGCTAAAACCCGCAATCCGCGCTTTCAAAAACGACAGCTTCGCAGCTTCTGCAAAGTTGTCGAGCATATGCTCCACCCTTGCTGCCTTTTTCTGTACTGCCGAAACCACCTCCAGTCCGCGATCGTAGTCGTGAATCGCGCGCACCCTTGCGCCCCTGTCGGTCGCAACAAGATACGCCTCTTTGGTGTTCATTCTGGGCACACTTTCTGTGTCGCCGAGATCCACGTTCACAAAAGCCGCTAGTTGCATTTTGCTCGGCCCCGACGTTGCGCCGCTGTCCAGAAACGCTTGCAACCTTTCCTGAAACCAGCGGTACCTCATCTTCAGGTCGTACATGGTGGCAACTTTTTGTGCGAGCTCTCCGCCAAGCCACTCCAGAAAAGGTTTGTGCAAAAAATTTGCGATCAGGTCGAAGACCAACACGTCCTCAACCTCGTCTTCTGTGAAGCCACCGTAGTCATACATCTCCACAACCTCTGGTGGCAGCGAACGTTGGCCATCGCTGTCTGCGCCCACCACTTTCACCTGCGGTAAGAAAGTTTCGTAGCGCGTGACGTCCTTCTCGTCGCTCGCGGTTGTAGATGAGGTCGTCGACCCCACACGCCCCGCCAAGTCGTGTCGGTCAAACTGCAAAACCTTCTTCGCCGAAAAGTCCCGCAACTCCAGCCTGGCCCGGCGCTCCAGCGTACTGGTAATGGAGAAGTATGTTGCGGCCGCGCTCGCGTTCTCGCTCACCGGAGCGAGTACTTTCGCCACCCTCCGCAGCTCAGCTCGCAGAAAGTGAAACAGCGGTAGCAAGGTATCCGCACCGGGGAGAGGCTCCACGACCGTTGCCTGGAGGTCGGCGGCCTGCTCAATGAAAAGGCTTTCAAGAATCGTCGTCCCCTGTTGCGAAGGCGCATTTTCGTGCCCTTGCGGAACGCTCAGTGGATACAAGGGGGTATTGATGGGTGCCGACCCGAGATATCGCAAGAAAAAATCCGCCTTCCTCGGAATTTTTTTCGTTGTGGGTTTAGAAAATGTAATACTACAAATACACTTCATACAAGAAGCGGTCTGCTGTGGAGGTGCTATGTCACCCAGTGCAGAGGGCACTTGTGAAGATGCCCAGCTAACTATACCTCGTGCCGCTGGAGGACGCGGCAAAATGAGGTCGCGCTCCTGCTTCCTTGCGGCAACCTATAGATACACACAAATATTCAACCTAGCAGTCCAACTTCCTCAATTACAACCTCCGCCCACCCAATACCTCATGTGGTCTGTTCCTCAGTGCGGGCGGTGATTTTTTCAGCCGGGTACCATGTCAACACCGCTTCCAGCCCTCGGCAGCTCCGGGGCGGCGACTTGAGTGGCCGATCCGGTGGCAGCGCTGGGCTTCGAAGCCGCGACAGAATTACTCAGATACAAGTAGTGCAGGGCGTCGTACTTCGTTTCGTTTTCCTTCCACAACGACGTCTGCTGCAGAGCCGCCAGTGTCCCGACAGAAAGCACACCGGCAATAAAGTTGGGGCTGTTCCCAACTTGCCGCCCGGCTCGTTGTTCTGAAGCCCCAGGCTCGCCTACTTCTCCCTTCCAGGTCACGTGCTTCACGTGCACGTAGGTGTGTTCTCGGGTGTTGAACCAGCGCCCAAAAAACACACGCAACTCCTCGAACTTCTGGCGTTCTCAAATGTTACATTCTCAACTGTTACATGAATTTGCAATGCAAGAGCGACAAAATTGAAAGGGGGAAGTAGAAGATTGCGCCTTTTGCATTACAGATTTGGCGCATATTTAGGTGCTGTTGAGCCCTTCGTAGATTTGTCATGCGAAGCAGCTTAATCGTCATCGTGGCGATCTTGCTGGTAAATTTGCATGAAAAATCACGTAGCAGTTGAGAATGTAACGTTTGAGAGCAGTCCCATAGAACTCTCGCTTGCTGTCTTTCACGGAGCCCAGCACGGCAAAGTCGACGCTCAGCCTGCCGTCGTTCCACTGCTTTCTGCGGTTCCTCTCCAAGGTGGAAGGCAAGCCCATCTGGTCTAGTTGCTCTTCTAGTTTCCGCGCCCTATCGTGAACCGCCGCGGGTGTATTGTTCAACAGTGCGGGCGGAATCTCGCCTTCTCCCATGCCCACATCGAAATGCTTTTGCAACTTCCAAGTGGCGAAGCTCGACGTCTTGATGTGGTCCAGCCCCTGCGCCTCTCGCCCATGGAGATACTGGATTCTCCGAGCGTACATCAGCTGCAGCGCCAGGGCGATTCGCGTCGCGGCTTTGCCGTCCACCGAAAAGTCTTGCGCGCCACGACCCGAGCGTCGCCCTACATCGCTTGGGCCCCGGCCGACAATGTTCAGCAGGTTTCCAATCGTCTGAGCCCGCGCTCGCGCCACGGCGAACCCCGCGATCTTGGCCTCCCGCCGCAGTAGTTCCTCTTTTTTGGCTTTCCGCCGCGCTTTTTCTTCCTGGGATTCCAGGAATCCCTGCACCTGAAGCCGTAGCGCCAAAGGCAGAGGCAGGAGCAGAGCACCTGAAGCCTTTGGCGCTACGGCTTCAGGTGCTGGCAGGTTCCACTTAGCGAGCGAGGGCTTCGAGAAGAATATATCGTCTTATGGATTGCAAAAGTGTCTGGGTCTGGAAGAATGCAAGTTTGTCATGCTTGTCTGGCATGACTCAAGAATCTGTGTTGCATAGGCACGAAAAAGCCCTCTTATCTGTCATGCAAAAACGCAGTTTGCCATGCGGAATACGTAAGACATGGCAGCCAAAAAATTTGTCATGCATAGCTGCTTGTTGCAGTGCGGCTATCATTCATTTTTAGCATTACAAGTTTCCAGACCCAGACACTTTTGCATTTGATACGTCTTTCATGTCAGCGACATCCACCACTTGCTGGTGCAGCAGTAGATACGCCACTGCCAGTGTGGGCACATTGATATTAAAACCGTCTGCCGCCGCGTCGACGGCGGGTTGTGCAGTGGTGTTCGCCGTGCGCCCAGGAGTGACTGCTGCGCGGTCGTGCTCCAAATGCAAAGCGCATCCCACTAGTGCCATGTCGGTAGGGTCCACTTTCAGGACACGATGACGCACCGACCGGTCTTCCATCTTCTCCACAGTGAACCCGGCGTATTCGTGTGTGGGTGTCTTCGACACTGCGACTGGCGGCACCGGTTCTTGAGACCCTGGACGAGAATGTACTATTTTCAGTACCTCATCTTCTGCTGGCTGCACACGTCGGCGTCGCCGCTCGCCTGCTATGGATTTAAATTGTGGAAACCAAAGCGCCTCTGCCCTGAGATTCCGACACTTGTCGTCGCAATTGTGTCCCAGAAAAGGCGAAAGCGCATCAAGATCAGCCGCCGGCCCGAAAAGGTGTTTCAGCCTCGCGTGCATTTTGAGTCGTAGAACCCGTATCAGCTCGTCGCGACGCTGCGGCGGCGCTGAAAGCGAGGTGATGTGGTCCCTAGTAATGGATCCTCGATTGTCGGACGGCGCACACAGCTGCTCATATTCCTGCTTCGCCTTTTCCACAAAAGCCTCCGACCGCCGCACGAAGCCGGACCAAAAGTTCTGAATGACATCCCGCGCGGCATTCTCCTGACCGTCGTCCATGGGCTCTGCGACGCCGGATAGCATTTCGATGCGGGTGCAATGAAAAAACTTCCCTTCTTGTCATTTTATTTGGGGTAGCGTTTCATGTTGCGATAGAGTTCTTCACTGGCATGTGTGATACGCCAAACCGACTCACGCTTTGCCGACGCCTATCGCGCCGTTGTACTTGGAAGAAGAAGATGAAGAAAAACCTGAAACGTGACTTGCGAACCACCAATGCGTAAGATGATGAACATATATATCATGCATGTCTAGTGGTGTGGGGGATGGTCAGTTGTTAGGATCGCACCACAGAAACCATCCTGCACGCCCTGCAAAAAATGACAACGTGGGAAAACCATTTCGCCTTCGTATTGCCCGCATCCTGTACATCATTCCAAAATGCTTCGGTAGCAGACGTCTGCGCGCCCGCGACTCTCCCTCCATAGCTCCCGAACAAGGCCACCACACAATTTGTGAGGAGGAAGCCGAGTGCGGTCATTTTGTTCTTCTTACCTTCAGCAAGCGTTTTCATCCTACCTGTTCCGAAAACCAGAAAGCGGAATGCCACTTCTTGCTGCTAGTATGCTTCAATCGTTAATAGCGTTTGACTGAGAAAGGCAAAATCTTCTCAGCAGCTTAGCAGGCGGATCAACTAGCCTTGCGTCAGTAGAGCTGGAAGCCCGTGGAATTTTTTGCGGATGATCTACCGTCCTTACTTATGAAACAGATTTGATCTAAGTGCTGCCGACTTTCGGTCGCAACGCAGCTGACCGATCCTGTAACTAAGTCGCTTTCCGTCCAATACTCGTCTGCTCGTCTTGAGGCAGCTGAGGCCTACCGAAATAGTAGCTACAGTACGTCCTTGCGAACGTAATTGAGATTCAGCTATTTTGTAATGTGTCTACTTTTCAGCCGCGCACAGCTACAATTTGGAAAATGAATTGTCTCAACGGAGTCACACTCGCGACACACCCGATGGAAGGTTGATGAGGATAATGGTTAATCCTTACACTTTGGCTGCAGAAGTTTGGGCTGCAGAAAATGTTTCGGCAAAGATGAGTTTCTGTCTCTACATTCGTTTGGGAGTGTGGATTTCTCAGGAGCTTACATGTTCTTCGCAGCGACACATGTCACTGGCGACCAAGCTGAAGGCATCTTTCATCTGATCTGTTGGATCTTTCATCTGACAAGCGGGATCTTTGATCTGACAAGAGGTGGCACTTAAGCTCATCCTACTTGTGGGTCACGTCTTTTTGACCTCTTCGTCTTGCTCCGATCAGCGAAAAACTGAAACTGCTTCAACTTTTGCTCCCCTGCTTCTATCGGGGGAAATTCGAGATCTTCAACGCCGCTAAACCATCGCGTGGCATCACAATATCCAAACCATGGCAAAAACTGCAGCCGGGACCACGGCGCTGCCTACTATGAGAAAAAGACAGGGCTGCTGCACTCTTCGCTCTCGACCGACTTTGTTTTCAGGCGCGCGTCCCAAAATAAAAGAAAAACCAAGGGCACAAATGCATCCGCTTTTTTCAATCTATTCGCCCGCGGGAGAATTAGGCGGCGCCAGATTGGTCGCCCAGTCTCGCCAAGCACCCAGACGCCCCACGGTGCTGAATTTCTCGAAAATCCGAAGCGAAAAAAAATCGCAGCCCCGATGTAATTGCGGCCGAAGTGCTGAAAACACTGAAAAGCGAACACCAACAAAAGCAACCAAAGCAAAGCAATCCCAGACCGCTGGCGCGCATTACAAACGGCCGACAGGTGGTTGCTTTTTTGCCGTCTGAAGTTGTAGTAGAAAAGCAACCCCCGGGGCACCAACTTCGGACCCGGGAGACGCATTACAAACGCCCGACAGGTGGTTGCTTTTTTGAAGGTTTGAAAATTCTAGCAAATTCCAAGCAGAGCCAGACGCCCTCTCCTGCTCGA